TCATATCCAGACCAACAAACACACAGGATGTGTGTGATAAAAACATGTACTGTTCCCGTCTACAAAATCAGACATTCTTTTCGCAACAAGTAGCAGATTTCTCTAGCATGAGTGGCTCTTTCTCTCAGGTCGACTTTCCGCCTTTTGAATCTTGAATTGGACTCATATGTTGCTTGTCTGTTGAATTATTATTACTTATGAGAGTATGTTCAACTAACGCCAGTTAATTGTGTAAATATTGTATTTAACAACAAATAATGTAATCCTATTATCTGGTGTTTTCTTAGCTGTATGGTTTGTTTTAGTATACGTAGTGTATTACAATAAAATAAAATAAAGTTAAAAAAATGAGTAAACCACTAGGTTTCCAGTAACCAATACTTTGTCTGTGTTGAAATTATTAATATTATCAAATGTAGATCAAGAGATATTGATGTTACTATGGTAACATACAATGCCTGTTAAAGTCCATCCCTGTGAAGATTTTTTAACCATTCTTGTGGAACATGTTGAGTCAGCGATTAACTCGCTATGATTATCTGAGCAGAGAAACTCCCTTGAGTGAATTGGTCAGCAATTCAGAAAGGGATGAATTGTGGATTACCAATAAACTTCTAGTAATTCTTTGCAAACTGCGGAAATGCTTCAGTATATCACGTTATGATGCGTATTTTTGGAATTCATTGGGTTTGAATTATGTATAAATGCTTGAAAAGTCTAACTTATAAATATGTTTTCACTGAAGTACCAGGTTGTGCAATACTGTCCTTATGATAAATAAAATGTGTTTCTGGAGTTATTAAAACAAAATTTGGTGTATGATATCAAAGCTCTGCATAGTGCTGTGTAATAGTGGGAGAAAATGTTCAGATTTTATTGCATAAATAAATAATCCGAAGGTAAATTCATAAACATAGCGCCCTCTGTCGATTTACTTGGAATGCATTGAAATGATTGGCGGTGCGAAAGTGACGTCACATTATAGGTTTGAATTTAGCCGCCATTTTGTTAGTGTTTTTGTTGACATCGATTGCTTTCACGTCGCGTGTTAACTCGTTTATCTGACTTTTAAAGGCAAGTGCACGAACTTATTATCAGACTTTATTCTAATAATGGAGTTGAGTTTCCGTGATATACAAATACAGTGTGTTTGTGCAACGACACTTTGGAAAATCGTATTTGTCCATGATTATTGGACACTTTCACCGATCCACAGTCCTTCTATCACAGGACTAACACCGATCACTAAACTCACTTTCCCCGATCACGCTATTTTTGTTATTCTAAAACCCGGTCCTCATACATGTAATATTGTTGACTGTTCCCTGTTTTTGCCAAGGACTAAATTTTTTATCGTAGTTTTATTCGACGTGTCAGGATGTAAATATATTTCTCTGATTCAGGAAATCGGTGAACGCGAAGCGAGAAAATGCATCTGGAATTTGTGATTCCGCTGAATAAAGAAGATCTACAATCACGTACAAGTACAAGTCAGTATGTTGTGGATGAACTTGTTTCCCCGCGGCAGCTAAAGGATCAGTTGTATGGTAAATGTCAGCTTTTACAGTGATGTATTCATAACGCAATTAGTGACATGTATATATTTAAATGTTTAGTACCATAGGTCGTTATCTTGAATTTTCGCCATAAGATATGGATGCAGCGTAGCCGTATGTCCCGACACTACCGTGTATACAGACGAATCCTAGCACTCATGAATTTCAGTCCGTGAAAGCATGCAGCTTAGCTCCATGGTGAAAGTCACAACATTTTGTAGCAGTGACAATTTCTCTAGGATTTGTACAACAGTGAAAATTACAGGGTTTACACTCCGCCACTAGGTCGTCATGACCTCAGAAATAACTATACTGTTTTTGCTTTATTAGTAGCGTATATGCCTACATAGAACAGTTGTGTTTTCTGTGATCTGATTTTAAAAATTTAGTATACAATAAATGTGATTTGGGGTTTATATACGCTTCTAATGGAGCAAATATATAGTGTGCATACATATCATGTTGTTAGTGGTTTTAAGGTAGAAGCCTACTCATAAATTGAAAAACCCTGAATTTATTCATTTTGCAATAAGTTGTACTCAAAAAAGTTGGGGGTCACCAGCCTTTTTTCGAGAAATTAATGTTTGTATTTTAGTGGAAAGTCGCCATTTTGACACTATTATAACACTTTTACCACAGGTTCTTATGGCAGAGATATTATGCAATATCTCAAAATCTAGCCTGGTGACATAGGTGGAAAAAATCATATATTGTTAATGATGGAGTACTTTTTGTTGTTAAAAAGTGTCAAAAAATGCAATTGTGTTCTATGGAAATATTAGGACACGTCTCTCAAAAAGCATAACTGTAACACACAAAATAATGCTATTCCATTGTACCGTAGGACATTAACTTCATGATTGTACATAATAAACTAATGAACATTGTCATGCGATTTATGACCAATTTTGTCCAAAATTATGACTAGGCTTCTACCTTAAGTTTTATTGATCAAACAAAACAATTCATATCAGGAAAAATAACAACCTAAAAAATTAATTTTACAAGTTTGACACTGTTCTACTCTATTTGAGAATATTTATGACTGTACATGTATATTCAAATTCATATGATAGTGTTTTGCTATTTGGGCACTTTCTCATAACTACTGCAAAATACTTTATTTTCAATTGGATTTCAGTGAAAATAAAATCCAGCGAATATTCTCGGGCGGAGCTACGTCACAAGATGTTCCACGTTGCTAAGACGCGCACCACTGTACCACTTATTTCTATGGGCTCTTCGCGTGTTGCTGAGGAACGCGAAACACCGAGCGAAGAGCCGGTGAAAATTTGAGAAAACAACAAGAACTCAGCTTTGAAGTAATCCTGAACAATCAAATTTATATGCGCTACACTACACTGTTCGGGGAGTCTCAACAACCATCCCAAAGTACCGTTTTCTGAGAGTTGTCGGCCTTTGTTTTCACCGTGATAGTTGCCATGCGATGAAAATGTCCGGATGTCCGCGCCCAAGAATACCTTTTTTTCTATATTTTACATTCAACTTGTCAAAAATCAGTGAAAATAATTCCATACAAAACACCCAACAAATCTTTTCAGCGAAAATTAATGCAGTTAAAATAAAGTATTTTACCACAGGGAGTTGGACAAACTTGTGTATTTTAATAAATTATTAAATAATAAAATGTTGTATTTCTTTTCTTTTAGCCCCCCCCCCTTCCTGGTATCGATTTCAAGTAATCACTGATCTTTGTTTATACCACTCTTTCCTTTATCACAATCTTTGTTACGCGCTAATGTTATATGCAAATTTTATCGCACGATGTAGATATGCCCTATTATAGTAAAATATCTCAAGGGTTGAAACGCGCCAGGACTGTGGTATGAGCACAACCGTAAAGCGGGTGGGCATTTAATTTATTCATGAACACTATTTGGTCCGAGTTATAGAAATATACAAACCAATAAATATAAATGTTAAATCATACAATTATGACAGAAGGGGTTAAATACCAAGTGATGAGCCACAGTTTCCCAGCATTCAAATGGTTACATAGTTATCCTAAAGCGATGATAAAATTCTGCAGAAATATCTGTAGGAAATGCTAATGTGTGTATTTTCTGAGAACCTCCATCGAAATCTACAATAGCTGTTAGAGGTTCTTTTTTGTGTTGTGGGTTCAAATCCCACCCTAGGCAAACCTTTACAATAGTTGAGAAAGAATTCTGTCTCCTTGTCAACTCCAGATGTTGCACCTGATTTTCTGCCAAAAATATTCCTAAATAAACAATAATAACAATACCTAGCTACAAAATGCCTATACATACATCAGATTTAAATCAAGTTGGGTCACATGACCAAGAATGGCATAAATATCTGAAAAACTGTTGATACTGTTCAAAATGTTTTTCTGGTTCTTTTATAATTTTTTTTTATGTCAAGCCCTGTATTTATTGTCAGTATGATGTATTTGTTTAAACGTTAAAAACTTATTATCGATAGTATAATGCAATTTTCTTAAATTGTAAAACAGATTGCAAGGCAGTGCTCAGAAATCAAGGTGGTGTTGGTATAATAGAGAAGTTTGATCTACTTTATAGTATTCTCATGTAAGTATTGGAGTTAAATGTTATGGTTGTACTCTCAGTATGTGAATTTGGGTGTATTCTGCTAACTAGTGTTCATTTTCAATGATTGATTAGCAGGAGTGCAGCAATATGCTGTGTAGTGATTGTGTGTGTTTTCTGTACAGTCATAGTAATAATTAATTTGTATTCTTTTCTAGTAATTTCAACACGCTGAATGATGATATGAAAGAAGATACCTGGGAACTATTGCTAAAGTGTAAGTGGTTGACATGGTAACTTACCATACTTCCCCAAGCATAAGCCCCTCCCAGAGTATAAGCCCACCCCTCCTTTTTAGACATTTAACGAGTTGAAGCATCTCCGAATATAGGCCCATGGTGTTTTTTACCAAACATCAATGACATTTATTAAAATGTGCATGTAAAAAGTGTATTTCAGTAACTGGTACGGTAGTTTGGTTCCTGCTTTTACAAGAAAACTCGCATTAATTTCGGAGTGCATGGCAGGCAAACGTACGGAGCATGGTTCACACCTTTTTAGTCCCCGTTCGGACGTAGTCCGAAAACGGGGACTTATGGTTTGCCCTGTGTGCGTCCGTCCGTACGTGATCACCTGTATCTCGAACATGCATGGACCGATTAAGTTCAAACTTCACTCATACATCACACATTATATGGGACATATGCACATGCATTATTTTTATGATCCGATTAACGATTGCCGAATAGCGGCCATTTTAAGGCCGAAAATGCATCAAAATGGCACATTTTCACCATTCCGGACCCGGATCTCAGTTATGCATGGACGGATTTTGTTCAAATTTGGTACATACATTAAACATAATAGGACCTTGATGCACGTCATTTTTTTGGGGGGGGATCGGGTTTGAAATGGCCGACTGGCGGCCATTTTGTTTTAAAGAATTCAGTTCTGGATTCGTATCTGAGACATGCTTGGATTGATCAAGTTCAAACTTCACACACACAAGGTACATCATGTTACAAATATGTATGTACAT